GAGTCGTCTTGCTGACTCCTTTTTTAACCCAGTGTTTGACAAGTTTGCTTGTGCAATGCTGTTGATTTGTTTGTAACACTGAGGATTATTTCATCTAGCCAAGATAGTAGGAATCAATCCGGCCATGGGAAGCTACCTGCCCTCAATTACCTTCAAAGTGTGAGGTACAAATTTACTCCATTATTTTAGGCAAGGTTATGTTTATGAAATAAGTTGGAAATGTTTCCTTTCCTCCACTCAGGACCCCAGGCTGATTTTGTCCTGTTGGTTTCTTTGTGACAGCTGCAGAGGTCACACTGAACCTGTTCCATGCTTTGTAAATGTCAGTCCCAGCCTTCAGCCTAAACCAACACAGGCCCACCCTGAGTTCTGCCTGGCATGGTCTGCTCTTGTTTCCCAGGGATCCAGACTGATCCTTCAAGAGGGCCATTTTGTGAGAAGGCCCATTCCAGAGACAGTCTGGATGGCAGAATGCTAATCATAGACTAGGGAGGCCATGATCGGGTGTCATCAGGTACTTGATCATTCACCAAGTGAATAGACAAATTCAAGAGCTCATCCCAGGTTTGATGGGCCAACCTGGGATGAAAGTGGGGGATACTAGAGCAGTGAGATGTATACCACAACACCAAGGATAGTTAACACTTTGGGGATTCTATTGGGGTGTATCTCCTAGGTCACAGAATTGGGAGGACCCTTCTGAGAGAGGCCATAGATTAATGTGACTGACTGCCCAGACATGTGCACAGACCATATGCATTACAGGCTTGTAATGACCCCATGAACCGTGTGGTGCGGGAAGGAGAAGTACCAGAAATTTCCCATCATCCTTTGTGAGAAGTCTTTGACACTGAACTCAGGACCCTGAGGAACAAACAAGTCAGCTGTGGGGCAGTCCCTCTCCAGCTTTTCAGTGGCCTGTGCGACTCCTAAGGTTGGATTCTAAGGCATGGCTTGAACCGTTCTGTAGGGAGGATGCTTGGCAGTCTTAGGATCCAGCATAGAAGGCTGACCAAGGGATTGTCTTGTGAAAAATGCCAAGGCTGATGACCAGAAGCCTGAGGACGAGACACAGTTTCTCCTTTGTCTCTGAGGCCTGTGACAGTCCTTCCTCGGGCTTGAATATTTGAAGCCTCTTCTGTCAATTACCCCTCTTTGGAGACTGTTCCTCCCGAGCTGCTAAGCCAGCCTTGCTTCTCACACGCCCTCTAGTGACTATTGCTGGTATTACTTCCTGCTCCAGGAATGGGTCTTGTTCCGCTAGACTATGGGATGACCAGGCTGTCCTGGAACTTAACGGTGTAGCATGGGCTGCTTCGAACTCATAAAGATTCTCCCTGACTCTGGCTCCCAAGTACTGAGATTACAGGTATGAGCCACCACACCCACATCCTAGACTGTTTAATTATACGTGCTTTGGAGAAGGCATTTGACCTTTTTCCTGGGATTTTCTTGGGATGGGGGGGGCTTGATCCTAGCATACAACTGTTTTCTAAGGCGATTATGCACATTTTACAATAGAATTATGGGCTTATTAAGTACACATTGAATCTTACCTTGTGCCTTATTCTCCTGGGATCCAGGGGTCAGGACAGAAGAAGCTCCAGGGTGAATCAAAAGGATTCATAGACGATTGCAATGATCTGTGTCTTCCTGTGATTTTACAGCTTATTTGAGATGGCAGGCACTTCAGCAGCTGGAGATGATACAGGGCACTGTAAGAAAATGGCTTTCACAGACCTGTAAATAAAATCTTGTCTGGCGAAGATGTCAGTGTGAGAAACAGAAGCTAGACGTAGACTGTTTCCTCTGCTTCCTAGACATTTACTGTTGGAAGAGGGATTGATGGGAGATGATCTGGACACTTGAGAAGTCAGCTGAAACAATAGTCACCAACCTGGCAATGTGGTACCTAGTTCTGGTTTTATGGATTTGCACAAATGGTGTGTAGAACACCCAAGGAATTACACCTTCTCACCTCACAGTTGCATTATTCCTTCAGATTCTGGTCAAATAGCAGCTGCAGCCACTAAATGCTTTACTAAGAGTAAGTAACTGGCCCAGAGCTATTTGGCTGGTAAGTAGTGGGTCCAGACTCCAGCGTACTGGCTCTAGAGTCTAGAATCTAGAGCATGCATGCTTACCTCTCCTCTGTACTGTTTATCAAGGCTTCAGTTAAAAAGACAGTCGTGAGTCTGGGACCGTGGTCCAGGTGGTAGAGAACTTGTCTGGCATATATGAAGCTCAGAGTTGGATCGCTAGTGCTACCTAAAGCTAGATGTGGTGGTCTATCTCTATAATTCCAGCACTCGGGAGGAGTATAAGTTCAAGATTATCCTTAGCTACATACAGCGTTCAAGGTCAGCCTAGGCTACAGGAGATGTTGTTTCAATCCCTGTGTGTGGTGTCGGTGTCCCACCTCCCCCAAGCCCCACTTGCGCCTCCTCCCGACAGGGTTTCTCTGTGTAGCCCTGGCTGTCCTGAAACTCCTTCTGTAGACCAGGCTGGCCTCAAACTCACAGAGATCTGTCTGCTTCTGCCTCCCAAGTGCTGGGATTACAAATGTGTGCCACCAATGACTGGAGAGATGGCTCAGAGGTTAAGAGCACTGGCTGCTCTTCCAGAGGTCCTGAGTTCAAGTTCTAGCACCCACATGGTGGCTCACAATCATCTATAATGGGATCTGGTGCCCTCTTCTGGCCGGCAGGCATATATGCAGGCAGAACACTGTTACATAATAGATATATATTTTTTTTAAAGTGTGCTGCCACCACCCAGCTTCAAAAATCTTTTTTACCTAAAAACTCAGTAGTAAATTTTAGAGCTATATCCTCAGTACTCAGGGCTGAAATGACCTTAAGCCTAGAATTAATTTTTAAAATTCATCAAGTCTTCAGATGGAGAGATGGTGGTAAAATCTTGGTATACGTTTGTCTAGATGATGTTTGTGACATGCATGTGGTCTTTACCATCTTACCTTATTTCCATAATTAAAGAGCAAAAGATATAGCTAATGAATTTGAAGACTTTGAAATATTATTTTACTGTTAGCATATAAAGACTCTTTATCTCACTTATGCAGATAAAAGCAATGAGTTTCAATAACTTATTATTGTAATTGTGGCTGTGTAGAGGAGAGAGCTCTCTTCTCTATGCTAATAGCTACTTTTCACCTAATCCTCAGTGTGATTCCCGGTCCCATGTCTGCCCTCACTCCTTAAAATCAATACAATGAGTTAGAAGAGGTCACAGAAACCACTCCTTCCAAAATGCTCATTTTCACAAACATGGAAATGAAAGCAGAGAGAATTGGAATGATTAGCTCAGGGTTGAAGTGGAGCTTTTAAAGGAGGACTGTTTCCAAACGCCTGGAGGGTTCAAGGAAGAGGAAGAGTTAAAAACCCAGGCTTTTACCAATGGTGGTGCACTCGGGAGGCAGAGGCAGGCTGATCTCCCAGTTCGAGGCCAGCCTGGTCTACAGAGCGAGTTCCAGGACAACCAGGGCTACACAGAGAAACCCTGTCTCGAAAACAAAACAAACAACAAACAAACAAACAAACCCTGGGCTTTCTGGCTCCATACATGCCAGCTCCCCTCAAAAGGAGAGTGTGGGGGTTAAAAGCTGCAGCCCCCTGCCTCCCTCCCACCTCCCAGAACCCGCTCTCAGCCTCCCTGCAAACCTTTCTACATGACGGGTGTCACATTAGACATCTGGGATGCGAAGTGAAGAAAAGGTGAAGGAATTGGGACTTCACCCCAACTTTTGGATATGAGTGGACCCCTTTATTCAGTGTGTTTGCTGTATATTTCTTGTCACAGACCCCCAACCGTGTCATCCACAGAGGCCGTCATAAGAGAACAGCCCCCCTATTGCCCCCTCTCAGAGACGCGTCTTGTGGCACTAAAACCCATGCATGTCTTTGATCCAGAAGCAAAGGCCAGACCTTTCCCACCTGCAAGAAGTGCTTCTCTGGGGGCCGAGGTACTCAGATGGTAGAGTGTTTGCTTGGGTTCAGTCTCCAGCATTGCAGAAACCAGGCATTGTGGCTAAGCGTGGACTCCTAGCCCCCGGAAGGTAGAGGCAGGAGAAGTGAGTTTTGAAGCCAGTCTGGGCTATTATGAGTTCAAGGCCATCCTTGACAACATGAGATACTGTCTTAAACAAAGTTTGTTTCCAAAGTGCCAACCCTTCTCACATCCTGCTGTCGTGGTCTGTGACAGAATGCATGTCCCTTGGACATTTGGAGCCCTCGTCTGTCTGTCTGTCTGACATATGTTTTGGAAGGATGCTGACAGTTTTAGAGAATGTGCCTAGAGGCCCCACGCTACTGTTTAATTAACCACTACTCTAATCTCTCTGTCTGACAACTCCCAAGGGGCAATCCCAAAAGCCCTTTCTGACCTTTCCGACTCTGTTGTCATCCATTCCAAAAAGTCTAGGGGCGTCTTTGGGCCTTTAGCAGGTAAGATAAATGCAAAAAGCTGCCCAATTAAGACTGGTGTCTCCTGGGAATCTGGAGACTCCTTCTCAGTCAAAGACTTTGTTGTCGCAGGACAGGTCAGCTGGTAATTGGTTACCTCTGATGAAGAGGGCAGAGGATGTCAGGATCATGAGTGGCCTTGGGTGGTCTTCATAGAATCTCAGCTTCCTCACCTGTAAAAAGCTGATCTCTATGGTGCTGCCACCTCTTATGATATGATCTCAGAGAATTCATGTCGCCACAGCCTTGGAGTTAATGTCCTATCTGTCCGTCCATCCATCTGTCTGACATGTTGCAAAATGCCTGCCGCGCCTATTTGAGTTAACTGACTCTTTAGATCTGGTGGCTCTGAGATGTGTGTTGAATGTTTGATCTTGTAATGAAACCCTTCTGCTTAACCATGACTCTGTTCTGCTCTTGATTTTGCAAGTGTGTGTGTGAACCAGTTTCTTTCTTTCTAAAAGCAGTGCTGAGCGGACAAGCTTAGAAAGGGTGTTTGTTCTCTTCATGTTGTTTCAGGGAAAATAGAGAAAGTCAAACCTCCTCCATCCCCCACAACTGAAGGTCCCAGCTTGCAGCCTGACTTAGCCCCTGAAGAGGCCGCCGGAACCCAGCGGCCCAAGAACCTGATGCAGACCCTCATGGAAGACTATGAGACACACAAATCTAAAAGGCGCGAGAGAATGGATGATAGTAGTGTAAGTTTTTCCTCCTTTCCTTTCGCTTTTCTGAGGGTGACTGTCAGCGTGCTATGCTTGCGTCCTAGTTCAGACCTGGATGTGTGTGCATGTGTCTGGTTGTCTTGCATCGTGGATCTGAAACTTATTTTTAAACGAGTGGTTTAACGTACCTTGGGGGGTCTTGTTTTGTATCTCAAAAATGTCTGTCATCAAGAGCTGGTCGTTTGGTGGCTAAGTCAAGCTTGTGGTCGTGGGCAAGTCTGGTACCCGAGTTGGTGGGTGTGGAGGGAGATAGTGTGTCTGTGCCCTGCAGTAAAGAAAAGTGCACACTCTCTGGGAGCACCCCCAGGTTTCAGAATCTATGCTGTGATCAATCCTTATGTGTTGCACACTGCTCAAGATACTAACTGTGTTCGGGGCTCTTTGTGAGCACAGTCATAGAGGAAAGAGCCATTTTAAATGACAGCCAAAAACCACACAACTCCCCATCTACCTTCAACCCCTAGAACTGTGCATGTGCTGGTCATGTGCTCTATGAAGGAAGTCATCTGCTCTGTGGAGTCCTTGTCCAGTAAAAGACTTATGAGGTATGCTGAAATATCCCCCACAAGTCTGGGGGCAGCCCTGGGGTTCATACAAACACTTGAGAGTCTCTGGCATCAGTATTTATCTCATCAAAGTAACACACACACACACACACACACACACACACACACACACACACACACGCCATTACACTGAGGTCACGAATAGCTTGGATTGACAACTGCCTAGTTTCTGCCTGTTGTCCCGGTGTGTTTATATGTACAGCATCCCCTCTCACTCTTCAGAGCGTCCCAGTTTGGATAAGCTGTGCAATCACCCTCAACTCAAATGCAATGTGATTCACAATAGGAAGTCCCTGCCAACTCAATGCCTTTCATGTCCTGGCTGGATAATCCCAAGTTCAAGGGTTTCTGGAATGAATGCCAAATGCTGAAGGCTTCTTTCCAATCCGAGAGATAAAGAGAAGATGAAAGCACACACATCCCTCTGCCTAAGCATGAAGGAGCTCTTGCTTAGCTGCCCTGCTGAGGCCAAGGGCCCTCTTTGGATGGAGGCCTGCCCTGGGTAGCTGCTGCAGCCGGTTGTACTGGGTTTCACCGGGCAGCTGCCAGCAGCAGCTTGCGTTTACTAAGTCATGGGAGCAGCCCTATTATTTGGGCAGTCCCTCTTTCGGTGTTGTTGGTCACAGTCTGAAGTGCAGTCTTAGCAGCACACGGTTTCTTCTCTCCCCGTGATTCAAAAGTGTACATCGGCGGCTTTGCTGGAAGCTAGCCCAAGAGACATGGACCGTTCAGTGGTGACCCACACAAATGCTTCCTAAGCGCAGTCTATGTTTCTTGTGTGTGCTTTTTGCACTGGGGTGCAGATGTTTCGTGAGGGCAGCACATGGCCGTGCCTGGTGGCACAGGTCTGTAATCCCAGACACTGGGAAGCTGATGTAGGAAGATAACACAATCAAGGTCTGCCTGGGACAGTGGAAGGTGATACTCATGTCATAGGCAGAAATCTAGACCCTTCCTTCAGGCACGCTGACATTCAGACACCCACCTAGGGAATGCCAACCAGAGTTTCCTCTTTGAATGAATGAGGCTGCTTGGAGTCAGCATTCTAAAGTACTAATGACCTCCTGTCTCTATTCCACTTAAGTAAGCAATCCAACATGTCAGCTAAGGAAGAAACCTACTAGTGAATCAGTTTATTTTTATTATTATTTAAAGGTGGGGTGTCTTGAGCTTTTCCTGGTATTACAATATAGTAAAATCTGTCAATTGTTGAAAAATATTTAGAGATAGGACAAAAAAAAAATCTATCCAATCCCTTGTACCCTCCTTGCCCCCTTTTAAAAGAGAAAAAAATATCTATCCAATCCCTTGTACCCTCCTTGCCCCCTTTTAAAAGAGACCCAAATCTCAAAAACCCATGCTCAAATTGCTTCTTGAGAAATTATACAGGCATCATCCAAAATTGATTTCCAAAGCACCCACTAACCCTTCTAATGCAGGGCACCTTTGCACTGTCCTGTGTAGAAAAGAACAAGTGTTCCCCCCTCCCCACAGCTGGTCCCTAGCCCCATCTCCATTTCTCCTTGTCTCGGGTACCGGGATGATAATAAGGAGGAGATGGGTTGCTTGGCAACCGTTATATAGCTGGCTCTCCTGTCTCTAGGAAGCTAATGGTGATTCTGGTCAAAGCCATGCAGCTCTGTTCCCCTGGCCCCATTCACACACATCGTTCGCAGGGTGACCCGTGGTTTCTTGGATTTTCTACCCTCCATGAGCCTCCCATAACTCGTGCTGGTGTTTTCAGTTGCGGCATCACCCTTGATAGCCTTTCTGTATGCTCCTTTGAAGACTAGAAGCCACGTCAGAGCAGTGGTGGTCTCTAGAACCCTAGCCATGGTTCAAGGACCTGCTTCCTCGGTCTCCGCACTTGATAAAAAAATCAAGGCTAAGGACTTACCTTATTTCATAGTGTGCCTGCCTAGCATGATGGAACCCTGTGTTTCATTCCCAGCACTTCATAAGCTGAGCGTGGTGGCACTTAACCTGTAATCCTAGCTCTCAAGAGGCAGAGGCAAGAAGATCAAAAGTTCAAGGTCATCTTCTGCTACATGGGGAGTTTGAGAACAACCCGGGCTAGAGACCCTGACTCAAAATATAAATAAATTAAAAAAAATCGTATACAAGATAAGTTGACTGGGTCCTGAATGGTAGAATCCTTGGCCAGAGAGGGATGTGGAAGCCACACTGCCTTTGGTGGCGTTTGTCATGTTTCTGAACTATCCTCTCCTGCTAGGAACAAGGGGGTTGTTTGAGGGCTCAGTTGATGACAGGTAGATACTGAAACACTGAGCCTTTTGGGAATGTCTGGGAGGCTCCAAGTCAGTGACAGGAAGTTAGTATCTGTGGATGACCTCCTCTGTTTAAGGGAAAAAAAGCTCAGACAGAGAACATGACAACTCACTATTCAAAGGTTCCCCCCCCATCCCCCCGTCCCCCGCCCCCTCCGCTCAGAACTCGGGCGGACGACTCGTAGCAGTCTTCACCCACCTGGACTGGCGACCTTGTTCTGTGTTATCTCCAGGAACTAAGAGACCATTCCATTTCCACACCAATCCTAAATATAATCATCTCAAATGAATCTCCAAGGACCATCCCAAGCTTGGGCTCTTAACCAGACCCACGAGGTTCTGATGAGGGCAGCTGTGGTCTCCTTAGTGAGATAGTACTGTCCTCGGGGCAGGTTTAGAGAACCTGCCTCTACAAACCTGCTCCCCCCATTTCTTCCCCTTTCCCTCCATGTCCTCCTCTCTTCATTCGATTAATGGGGTCTTACTGTAATGACACAGTGGGGTACAAGACTGTTACAGGTTCAGAGAAGCCCACAGGAAAAGCAAGGGCTATTGGGTTACAGAATCCATCAAATCCAGAATGGCCGCCTAGGTCCTTGCTGGTGGGCAGCTGGTTGGACAATGGGGGAGACGAAATCTTGTTAATTCAGTGTGCAGAAAATGAAAACAACAACATCTTGAATTAACAAAGCCTGGCTTATCTGATATTTTTATTAATGAGTAATAGAGTATCTACTTGCCTCAAGAGATACAGGCTTCTTTTAAATAAACAAATATCAGATGAAGCAACTCTTGCAGAGGTTATGTAATGGCACCTACCCGCAAGCCTCATCCCTCCTCCTCCTCCTCCTCACTTCTGGCGTGATGCCAGTGCCCAGCCGCCAGGGGAGGGGAGTCTGTGACTGTGTCTCTGCCATGTACTAACCCTGGTTTTTTCCCTCTCTGCCAGTACACCTCTAAGTTACTGTCTTGCAAGGTGACTTCCGAGGTACTTTTCAACTTGTCTGTCTGGGTTCTGATGCATGCTTGATCCTGGTGCACACTGTCATGGTCTGCTGTCTCCTGCCGTGTTCAATAAGAATGGAGAGAAAAATGCCTTCTCTCCACGTGTGTTTTCTGCCTGGCCTTTCTGACTCAAATGCTTGGAGTCCACACAACAGTGAACACTGCTGTGCTGTGCTGTACTGTGCTGGGAGGGAAGCAGGGGTTGGAGAAAACCTTTGTCACCCATGGATCTGGAAGACGTTGAACTAGAGGGCAACTGTTGGCAGGCTGTGTAGACTCCTTTTTTTTCTTCAGGCACACGTAGCAAATATATTCTGGTCTGGTTAGCACACAGTGCCACCGCTGCAGGCTGAGCCTGTGATTCTGACTAGTCCTCTATTAACCGTAACACGATTCCCAGAGAGCCCGGCTCTATGAATGTAGGTGACTTATTTCAAAGGCAGACCATCCCAGCTCCCCCTCCTCTCCCCAATCTTGGGACCTGTATTTTTGTTTTGGAAGCTCAGCCGAGCCGTGGTCCAAACCATCTCCTTCCCCAGACAACTTCCTTTTACACAGATTTCACAACTACGTGTGCTGTAAGAATACGCAATGCTATTGGGGCTGGAGAGATGGCTCAGTAGTTAAGAAGGCTGGCTGTTCCTGCGAGGGTCAGAGGGAGTCTGTCGTCTAGCATCCACATCTGGTGGGTCACAATCTCCCATGACTCCAGCTCCAGAGGATCGGACGCCCTCTTCTGGCCTCCGCAGGCACCTGATGAGTGTGTACGTACATACATACACATACACACATATATGCTCACATACATGCACACATGAGCTTAACATTTTAAACCATTTTAAAATACAGCATTACACACACACACACACACACACACACACACACACACACACACACACACACGATAGGGATTGAATCCAGGACACATACACATTAAACAAATTAAAAAAATTTAAAGCCCAGCATAGTGGCACATGACTTCAATCCCAGCACTTGGGACGCAGAGGCAGGAGCATCTCTGTGAGTTTGAGGCCAGCCTGGTCTACATAGAGAGTTTTAGGGCAGCAAAGACTACACAGAGGAACTCTGTCTCCCCCCTGGCTCCCCAAATTAAAATTATTTAAATGTTGTATGTACATATACACATACATACACACACACATACATACATACATACATACGCATGCATGCTTGGGATTGAATCCAGGGCTTGACACATGTCAGACAAGCACTCTCTACTTTAAGTTATAGTTCTAGTCCTTTTATTTTCTTTTTAAAAAAGGTTTTTCTTTTTCCCCCCACATTTCTCTGTTTTTCCTGTAATTTTCCACTTCTATAGTATTGCATTTTTATTTCAGAAGAATTGTTTCAAATGTTCAGAACTGTAGAGAGAATCATTCGTCCACCCAGTGCACAATTTATGGAGGGTTGACTATGAGTTGGACACTATAGCAGAGCCCAAGAAGGCAGCAGCAGGCAGCTGCTCCTGACATCATGGAGCCATCTACCTCTGTCCCTGTCCCGTTCCTGTCATTCTGGAGCATTGGCTAGATGTTTTCCAGAGGATTCGCTGTGGCAAATCCAGTTCATGCCCTCTCGTTGCTTCTCCCAGTTCCCGTTTTCCTGTTTCTGTCACCCTTTCTCTCCTCTGAGGGGTCACCATTCGTGGGTGGGGATCGTTCTTGTGCATGGTTTTAACTACACCTGTGTTGCGCAGAGAAGGAACACCTTAGGGTTTTTTTTTGTTTGTTTGTTTGTTTTTTGTTTTTTTTGCATGCTTTACACTTTCTATAAATGCTAAATCACATGATGGTATCCTCTACTTACTTTATTCAACTGCCTTTATTTTATGTGTTTATCTTCAAATTTAGTTTTATCTTTTATCTCATGTGTGTGATGTTTGGGCTGCATGTATGTCTGCGCACCATGTGCATGCAGTGCCCTTGGAGACCAGAAGGCGGCATTGGATCCCCTAGAACTGGAGTTACAGATGGTTATGAGCTGCCATGTGGGTTCTGGGACTCGAACCTGGGTCCTCCACAAAAGCAGCCAGTTCTCTGAACCACTGAACCATGTCTGCAGCTTCTGTTCCACTGTTCTTTGATATGTCCCTGTTTAACTGGTGGTTCTGGTGTATTTGTTAGAACTGCTGAACAGCGTTCTGTTGAATGAGTACATCCTTCCCTATCAATTTCATGTTGATGGAACTGTAGATTAAGTTCTTTCTGGTGAACTTTTGGGGCTTTTGTTTGTTTCTTTGTTATATTGTGCTGGGAATTGAAGCCAGCTCCTCTTGCAAGCACCGATGAACATTACCACACATACGGAACAATGTCTCTACCTTCAACCGGGCATACTTTCATTTACCAGCTCTTGCGGATGCTCTTCAAGTTGGTTTTATCAGCCTCCAGCATTACATGTATTTTGATTATGGCTCATTATTAGCAAAGTCACCATATTTTGCAGCCCTTGGAGAACCAGGCCCTGCTCTCCCATCCTCACTGAGTCAGTATGGTTTAGAACAGAGAAACTCTGGCCAAGGATGTGCGAGGAAGATAGATTTGGGGCCAGTCGGTCTTCAGCTGAAGTAGGAGGATCCCACGTTAGCTGGAATATTGATGGAGTCCTTTGCTTCATAGCAAAGCCTCACTAGACTGCCACCTAAAAGTTGCACAACTGTCTTGAAACGCCCAAGCATTAGAAAGAACAGTCCTTTTAGAGGCTGTTCAACAAGAAGTGGTCATTTTTCTTCCACCAGACCCGAGATGGAATTAATTGGTGAAAACGGTAAGAAAGCCTTACGTTGGCTTGTAAAGGGTGCTTGCTGGTGCTTGCTGCTCTCCGAGTCTCATAGCTGTTGAGGAGCTTGATGGCCTGATGGCCTCGAGGACTGACGCCACACCTGAAGAGCTGAGTTTAAATCCTGACCTTTCCTTCTGCTGACTGAGAAATGCAGGGCCAAGTTCCTTACCCTCCCCAGGTGTCAGCCTCCTAGGAAGTAAACGTGAGCGGTAATGGCCTGAAGCTTTCAGGACAGTCCTGAGCATTACAGTAGTAACTGGCCCCGAGTACTTGGGATTGAAAGTGTGCTATGACTAGAGCCCCAGAGACGTTCACTTTGGGCCCAGAAAAGGCTTTAGGAAGGAAAGTTAAGGTGCAGTAATAGAAGTATTAAGAGTTCAGAGTTTACTAGCAATTTAGACACACGCCCTCCCCCACATCTGAATGACCCGTAGAACAAGAGCTCGTTCATACCTCCCCCGAGGGCTTGGCTTTTGGATCTTCCCAAGGCCTATTGCGGGACTCTACTCCAAAGATAGCCCCCAGTTCTAAGCTTCCAGAGCCCAAGGGCAGCTTTACACTGAGGTTCTCAGCCTTTTTCTGTGTCCTTACTGGGAGATTTAGATCTTATCAGAAATTGGGGATCGCATGAAAAGGGCATCTAAATTAGCGGGGATGAATTAAGTGCTCATTATTGTGTACATGAGCTATTTGAGTTCTTGACCAATAGATGTTCAAATTCAAGCTTTGCTAAATGTTTCTACAGTTATAAATAGAATTTTCCTGCCTGTTGCACCTTTTGTGGCTGAATTCTGTGAGGACAGGAACTCTCACACCCCCACATGCTACACTGTTCCTGTGACATGTTGGGAACCCAGTCAATACTGGTGAAATGATGGGATAGATGAATGTTAACATGGGTTTCTGAAGTAGGGAAATTTGACTGAGATTTACTAACCATTAAAACGAGACTTAAAGCCATGTGTGGTACCCATATGCCATTAATCTTAGTACTCTGGGGGCTGAGATACATAGATCGTGAGCTCTTGAATAGCCTGGGCTACATGATAGGAACTTGTCTCAAAAGAAAAAGAAAAGAGGCCACTGGAGAGACGACTCAATGGTTAAGGGCACTGGCAGCTCTTCCAGAGAGGATCTGGCTTCAGTTCCAGCACCCACATGGGGGCTCACATCTGTCTGCAACTCCAGTTCCTGGGGTATCTGATGCCCTCTTCTGGCCTCTGTAGGCCCCGAGCACACAAGTGGTACACAAACATCCATGTAGGTGAAACACTCATACACATAAAAATAAATATATCTTGGGGTGGAGGCGATAAATGGGTTTAACTCGCAAGGCAAAACCCTTTTTGTTATTTTTATTTTTTAAGGAAAGCTTTTTTTCAGAACCTTGGCTTTATTTTCCTATTCCTGGGAATGTCTCAGTTTACGTCTGGAAGGTAAACATGAGCAATTTACACAGCACAGCCTTCCTTATAAAATCTGTGCTCATATTCCACTCCGGGGTCTGTAGCCCTTTCAGATGTGGGAAGAATTATTTGAGGATTGCCTTGTGCTCCTGAAACTGTTTGTCCCTCAGGCAGACTCCACACTGGCTTTTATTATGCTCATTTGACATGGGGATACTGAGGCACTGGAGTTTGTGACTTCACGCAAGGTCATACTGTCGCTACGATTTAAAACCTGGACCTCATCGAGATTCAGAGGCCATACTGCCTTCTGAGAAAGCCCGTGCTGTTAGGGCAAGGGCAGTCTCTAATGAGCTGATGGAGAAACTTGAAATTCAAGGTGAACAAGAGGCAAATCTGAAGTGTAGGGCTGGGGAATTACAATTCATCTGGTCTTATCACTCATTCCCATGCTATCACACAGTGGCCAGAAAAGTCCTGTGTAGCTACCAGGCTGGGCCGCATGCTTTCTTCCGATGTGTGCATAGGCACAGGCCTGGTCATGACACGGCTGTGGTTCTTAACGGTGCGGCTTTCACACAGCCAAGGCGTGACTGCTGCATCCCACCTGCCAAGTCCAGCTGCCCCATGTTGGGAGACGTGGGGAAGACCTCCCAGATGGAAGCATCCAGAAGCTCTGGGTAGTCCTTGCATTTGACACAGGTGCGAAGTAGCATGCTGGGATGGACCTCGGTTTTTTAGTCTACCCAGCATTTGCTTCCACGTTGCGTCTTCTTACCTCTCTGGAGTTGCCAACGTCACTGTCCCTTTCCTGAACGCTGTTTGTAGAAGAAGCAGTGTTTGTCACAGCTCGGAACACCAAGCGGGACTTTTGAAGTCAGATACTCTGCAGCCTACGTGAACACTGCGGTGTCCATGAGCCTGCTTTTGTTACTGGAGCCTGACCTGTGTCTTGGCCCTCACATGCCTTTCGTGTGGATTCCATCCTATCTAAACTAAAAACTGGAGCAGGTGGCCTGATGTCTTCTCTCGGGAGGCCACAAATGATTCTAATAAACAGGAGGAAAGGAGGTCCCACCTCCATGGGGGCGAGCCTACTAGGCCTTGATGTTGTCATTTTTAATTTCTTTTATTATTAGTGCATATGACTTGGATGGCACACACACCAGAATGCTGATGACTTTTATGAGTCAGTTAAGAGGGTTTGTAGCTGTGCTGTTCAAAATGGTGATTGCTAGCCCCTGGGGCTTATTTAAATTTAAATTACAATTCACCAAAACATTTCATTTCTCAGCTGTCTGTATTTCAAGGGCTTAGTGGCCACATGTGGATAGTGACTGCCACTTTGGATGGCACAGATGAACAGTTTCAGTATGTCATAAAGGTCTGTGCACACCAGGACTGGACAACTTGTAGAGAGCTGCTTTAGATTGTTCAGCTCTGGGAGACAGGTGGGGCTCAGCCTTAAGAGTGTTTGCCCGGTGTGGTCAATGCTCCAGGTTCAGTCTCTAGCACCGCAAAAACAGCCCCCCCCCCAAAAAAAAAAAAAAAAAAACCTGAGGCAGAGTCAAGTCTAGTTTAAAGAAACTAGTAAATATGTGACCAAAAAAAAAAAAAAGACACTGGAAGCCATGTGTCAGATACTTAGTGGATTTGGCTTTGAAATGAAGTCTTACCCAGCTCCTTCCACCCCAGCTCCCTTTGTTCAGTCTCTGCTCAGCGGTTCCAGATTCTGCATCACCTTCGTCTCGTGAACATGCCATTGAGTGAGGAAACGGGATGGAGGGAAGAAAAAGAGAAAGTTGGTTTTTGTGAACTCTGTTAATTTCTCTCCCTCTCTTTTCAGGTCCTGGAGGCCACACGGGTTAATCGAAGAAAGAGCGCTCTGGCCTTGCGCTGGGAGGCAGGGATTTATGCCAACCAGGAGGAGGAGGGTGACGAATAAACTTCCTTCAGCCCAGGAAACTCCTTTGCTGAAGGAGTTTCTGCAAAGAAACCAAGAGATTATCAGTTCAGAAGCATTTTAACTGACTATTTATTAAAGTGCATACAAACTCAACAATCCTCATGTAGACCAGAAGCTGCAATACACAATGATTTAAAAAACAACAAACAAACAAAAAACAAAACAAAAAGTGAAGAGGAAGTCCACCCATCAAACTCTGAGACCCGAGAGTCAGAAGAGGAAGGATTTCTTTGTGGTTCAAAGAAGCCCCTGGCCTTGGACCATTCCACAACCAGTCCAAAGGGACACGGGCATGACAAAATCGTCAACGTCGTTGCTGCAGGCAGAACTGAAGCCAGCCTGGGCTGGGTGAGGAGGAGGAGGAGGAGCCAACGGTGACACAGTCATTCCAAGGCAACAAACAGGGCCCGGGTTGTTCCTCCACACCAGCTTCCCGCCCCTTTCTCTCTTGAGGCATCAGACGTGTTGGGTTGACTCCATTTTTCTCCAGCAGCTGTAAAACAAATGGTGTTTCTTTCCACGGTTGCCCAAAAAGGGCAATGAGAATTCAATCTCTGTCATGTGTAATCAATCATTTTTAATTGGGAACACTTAATGGTCACAATATATAAAATCTGCATTTTATAGACAATATCTTTCCATGTTGCAGATGCAATCTATTCTACGGTAGGAGGATGAGGACGGTGGGGGGGGGGAGAGCCAAACCAAATGGGTTATTAGCTTTAGGACCTTCTCTGCTTATCCTGGTGACTGATCTGTTTAGGGAAACACACTTTCACAGTTATGTTTCTTCATATGAAAACTATATTTAGTGGGCAATGATTATTTTTATGATGGGATGGGGAAATAGGAACATGGGTAAAATCTGTACACGTTGAACAGCTTGGTTCAAGATGGTAGGAGTATTTTTAGAATGGCAATAATTGGAAACAAAAGGGGGCAGACTCTGCCTTAGAAGGGTAGATGATCAGGAACACAGTGTTTATAACTATTTTGTATTTTAAAATGGGCCTTAGAGGTGGTTGGGGCATAGGATGGACTGTTTTGGATCTGAGAAAGGCAACATTAAAGTCTTGGAGGTAGAGAGAGAAATGGGGTGGGAGGGAGAAAGAGTGGGAAAGGAAGGAAGAGAAATTATTTTTGCTGAACAACCAGTGTTTTTCAGGATGACAAAGAGAAAACTATAGAATAGAAATTTAAGTACAGACGTGGAATCAGCTACAAATCCTAAAGATGGTGTGTATGCCTTTGTGTGCCTGTATAAAGGGTGCATGTTCATGAGTAAGGTATGGCGTGTGTGTGTGTGTGTGTGTGTGTGTGTGTGTGTGTGTGTGTGTGTGTGTGTTGACTGTGACACTTGGGTGGACAGTGTTTCCTCCATAGCTGTCTGCCAGCATCAGGTGTGAGTGACAATTTTCTTTTTTTTATGAAAAGGGATATAAAGGCACAGGGCTGACGCAGTATTTCTAATATTGAACTGACCTAACATGGTATTTGCATGAGTCATGATTGTGAGGTTTTGCGCAGTTTTGTATTGATAATTTGACATTTAGAACACAGCCTATTTATTCTCATGCTTTGTATTCATGCCTCATGAGCTACAGAGGACTCAGCTTTACTCTTTGTCTCATTTAAAGCAATATGAATAAGGGGTTCACTCATCAGGTGCCCTGAGTTTCTGGATGAGGAAATGTTTCATTTCTGGCAAGGAGGGGGTGGGGGAGGGGGAGGGGAAGGAGAAAAAAAGAACTAACCGGTCTTCATTATTTTTCCTTTATCTTAAAAACTATTTCTTAAAAGCAATAATTAAATCAGACCTTGCTAAAATTCATTTTTGTTTTTATGTTATTATATCATAAGATTTAATATGTTATTCTAATAAGTAGCGACTCCACCATATTTATATGTACCTTTCCACATGTTATCTTTGCTCTTTTTATTAGACTAGTGTTGACTTTAGGGAAAAGCTTATTCATGGATAAGTAGTGGGCACAAAGTAAAAAGGAATTGTCGAGTGACTTATCAGGATCTTTAAAAACTGCCAAGGGACCCTGTAACTCGAAGCCAAATTCTGCAGATGGTAGCCAAATTGTACGAGGGAAGCGCACACTGTCTTTAGATAGTTCATTCTTTTAGACACGATGTTTTTAAAATGCTAGACATTGGAGACAGAAGACAAATGAGAAGCTGCTGCAGGGAATTTGCTTTCTAATAAGGAAGGCTCTTCCAGAAGCTAATGTCCTGGAGCATGACATCCATGTCAGGTTAGAAGTCCTGCTAGGTGGATGGCCACACTGGTGGGCACATCTTTGCCTAAGGATTTCCAGCTGGAGGCCCCAAATGCCAGGCTTGAGTACACAGTGATGTGGGTGTTCCTTCCCTTGGGAAATACAGGGACAAGGACACATGAGGAAAGGGTAGCTGCAGAGTCCCATGGCCCCACACAGTGGTAGTTAGAACGCCTGGAGAGTAGGATAGTGTGGGTCATACGAGGAAAGACCTGCTTCATGGTTTCTGGATCTGCTGGAGACTGGAGGCAGTGTAAAGCAACTTCCTCAGTTCTCACAAGAGGAAACAGGCCTCATGATTTCCTTAAATTTCCTGTCCTGTTTGGAAGGGAAACTTGGACCCACACAGAGGTCACATTGAGGAGAGAATTGGCAGCCAGCCGGGGGCCACACAATCCATGGAATTACTTTGGTGGGAGATGAAGTGCTCTTTTGACTGCAGTAGATTGAGCAAGAAATTCTAGGATCGGGGATTATACAGCTGGGCCCCCTGCGCCATACGCCTTTTGTAGATAAGGAGACACCCAGTGTCTGTGACTCTTTCCTGGTCACACAGCTTTTTTTCACTGGCCCCTCCATTTCCCAGGGTTACCCATTTCCCTGAATTCTAATGACTGCCGTCTGTTTCCTCGCTCTCCTTGCTGACAGGTGTATGCTATTAAAATGGAAATCGCAGCTCCATGGGAGAGCCAGCTTCTCTCTGTGTTCTTGGGAGATGTTTTTGTCTGGGGGCGGGAGGGTGGTGTTGAATTGTTTTCCTTATTCAAGACACATTTGAGCCATTGCTTTGGACACATCTCTGTGCTAGGCTCTAGGATCCCACGTGGGCTCTTGTCACCTTCCCAAGACAAACCAGCAGGTCCCTGGAGGGAAATCTGTCCTGCCCCATAAGCCTGAGGTGAGAGGCTCCTCCCTGGTTTTGCCTCAGCCGCTTGGCTCTCCCCTGCATCAACACACACGCTTGTTAGTCTGAGCCGTAAGAAATGTTTAGCTTCTGTAGATGTTAAAAACCTTCCTGAGAGAACTCCACACCGCAGTGTGGATACACTCACTTTCCTCCAGAGCCAATGACTGACGGCCTTGGCTTTCTTATCTAGGAATGACGGAAGCAGGGCACAGTGCATGTCCTTTCCTCTTATCCATGCATGCTGCCCACCCTAGGCAATGGCGTAGAAACAGTATATAGATCAGTGTCCACACACACACACACACACACACACATACACACACCACACACACACACATACACACACTACAATAAGGAACACCAAAACAGTGTTGATTGTTGTCTTCAAAAATATTTTTTTCACCTGAAGAATGGACTTAAACTATGTATTGAAAAACAATAGCTTAAGTGTTAGAGATGGTGAATGTACCCAGTTTCAGTTATAAAACCAATCCTGGATTTTAAGCATTCAGTGAGCTGCCAATTTTTATTCTGTGTTGCTCTTTATCCAAATGACTTTTCCTTTCTTTTTTTTTTTTTAAATTGGAGGAAGGGTGGGGCGGGATGGGTGGGGCAAGCAGCAATACTGTGTTTGAAAAAAATATACTCTGTACCTGGCTTTCCTGTGTTATGTTAACCACTTAAATGTTTTTATTCTGCTTCGGTTTTATAGTGACTGTGAGGCATTCGATGCAACTATACAATTATTTTCTCATTAAAACTCAACATGTGTGTGGTGTTTTTCTTTTTCTTTTTGGATGGCTATTTGTTTGACTGTGGAAGGAGGTTGGGAGATTGGGTGGCCAAGCTTTGAGGGGCACGCCAATGTCCTGGGTCTCTGCCTTAGCTTCCCCATGTATGGGACCAAAGAAGCTATGGTAGCTACTAAAACATCCCTGTGACACAAGCCCGGTGTCAGGACCCACAGAAATGACACAGGTGTCCCTTGATGAAGCAGTTGGACTTCAGAGTCCACGCAAAAAAACGAACCTGCAAGTTGTGCCTCAGGTATAGGCTTGTAGCTCATTCGTGTGGGTGCACACTGTATGTGAAGGTCAGAGGTCAACTTTAGCTGTTGAACCTCAAGAGCTGTTTTATGAGGCAGGGTCTCTCCGGGGCTGAAACTGGTTAAGTAGTCCAGGCTGGCCCTGGGGATCTACCTGTTTCCACCTCGCTATCACTGGGATCATGTGTGTGCCACCGTGTCAGGCTTTTTCCTATGGGTTCTCAGAATCAAACCCAAGTCCTGTATTTGCCCAACAAGCACTTTTACCAACCAAGCAGATTCCTCAGCCCTTAGCGCTAATCCTTACCACATTCCCAGCATGCACCTGTATTTGGCTCTCCTTATGAAGGACTGTTGAATTACAGGCTTGAAGAAGCACAGAAGAGCAGGAGTTCTTCAAGAAACTCCCTTTCTCTTCCACATCTGCCTGTCCCTCCTCCCTTCCCATCAGTCTCCGGGTACTCCATCCCCTCACCTGGCCACTGCACTTCCTGAAACCTGTCCCCCAGTTTCCTGTGTCTCCCAGCCCTGCCTCTTCCTTATGCTTTCCCGAAGCCTCTGCCTTCTGTCCCCACTTGGGACTCTTCAGTCTTTTTGTACCCAGGATTTCCAGCCAGATCCTCTTCCTCAGAACATCTGGGAGGGGTCTCGTGTGGCACCCTGTCATGGACTGCATCTTCTCAACTTTATTTGTTGAGAGTTCTGACTTTGGCCGGCAATGTGGCTGAGTGGTACAGTCCTTGCTTCTCACATGTAAGTCCCTGGTTCAATCCTCAGCACCAAAAAAACAAAAACAAACAAACAAAAAGCCTCCTGAGGCTGGGCCTGGTGTCACACATCCATAATCCCAGCACCCAGGAGACACAGGCAGGCGGATTGTTACAAGTTCAAGGCTGCCTGGTCAACAAGTTCCAAGCCAGACAGGGTTATATTCGACTTATTTCCAAAAAGTGCACCAAAATAACGAAACCCCTACAAGCCAGGGGTGATAACACATACTTACATGGAGACAGGAGGATCAGGAGTTCAAGGCTAGCCCTGGCCACACAGTAACTGAGATCAGTCTGAGCTACATGAGATTGTATCTCAAAACAATACATGCAGAATACAGTTTTTAGAACAGAACCCCTGGGGTGCTGACTTCTGGTGTGTGCGCTGCAGATACAGTGGCCCTGGGGAGCTCTTGTGCATCCCCCCAGCACGGCAGTTCACCATCTGTGGGTCTTGGTGAAGCAGCTTTGAGATGCCTCCTAGATTCTCAAATGAAGTACCTCTAACCGAAGACAGCAAATTAAGAAAGAAAAAAAAAAGTCATTGGTGGAGCATGCCTTTAATCCCAGTGCTCAGGAGGCAAAGACAAGCATATCTCTGAGTTTGAGGCCAGTCTGGGCTGTAAATTGAGTTCCAGGACAGCCAGAGCTATTATACAGAGAAACTCTGTCTCCAGGAGGAAAAAAGAGGAAGATAACTGTATCCATATATGCTCAGATTTTAATTTTCAGGGCAAGATAAGGGAATTTGTTCAAATCAGAAGAAATTTTTATTGTGTGTAGTAGTAGCAATGATGAACTGGCTTAATGTAAAAATTCAACAGTGGGCTGAAGAGATGGCTCAGTGGTTAGGAATGTGGACTGCTCTTACAGAGGACCCATTTGGTTCCCCAAACCAAGGTCAGTCAGCTCACAACTGCCAGTAACTTCAGCTACAGGGGATGTCCTCTTCTGCCTGTGTGAGTGAGTACCTGCACACATGTGCACATACCTGTGTACAGATACACACACGTACATGTAATTTTCAAACTTTCTTTTAAAAAGTCAGACATATTAGCCGGGCGGTGGTGGCGCACGCCTTTAATCCCAGCACTCGGGAGGCAGAGGCAGGTGGATCTCTGTGAGTTCGAGGCCAGCCTGGTCTACCAAGTGAGTTCCAGGAAAGGCGCAAAGCTACACAGAGAAACCCTGACTTGAAAAACCAAAAAAAAAAAAAAAAAAGTCAGACATACGTTTGTTTTTTTCTCCCAAGACCTTTGGTTTTGATGCTGAGCATTTAGACCAAACTCCAGCCTGACTTCTTTAATGTCTTGTCACCAGATGAAGACTATTTTATTGTTTGGCATTACTGTGAGTTTGGCATCTTAGGAAGAGAGCCCAGCTATTGAGCAATAACTAGTCGGGCAAATAGATCACCGACAATAACAGCTCAGGCAAATAATGATATTCGTACTTGAGAGTCACAAGACTGAAAAGCATCTCTGGGCTATTCAAACCAAATGGGCCAGCCTGACCTAGTGTGCAGACCTGTGTCTCCAGCTACTTGGGAGGCTGAGACAGGAGGATCACAGATACAAGGCTAGCCTAGGCAATTTAGTGAGACCCTGTCTCAAAAAGTAAACAGAATTGGTGGTGTATCTCTGTGTCACTTAAGACCATCCGAAAGCACAAATATTTGCATTACAATTCATAACACTAGCAAAATTTTAGTTATGAAGTAGCAATGAAAGTAATTGTATGGTTGGGGGTCTCCACAACATGAGGAGCTGTATCAAAGGGTCACAGATTGGGAAGGCTGAGGACGGCTGCCTCAGCTGACAATGGGAAGGGTGGAGCTCTGCTGTGTTCAGTCAGCTGATGCTCATCTTTGCCCCCTAGTGGCCACACGATGGCAGTGGTCCCTAAAGGAAAAGCAGTCCCTAGCCAAGCGCCTTCCTTGGGGGCTCCCACCCTTCAGAATGGATAGGAATTTCTCAAACACTTCAATGAGAAACCACTGTGCGACCAGGTGTGGTGACTCACACCAGCAATCCCAGGACTTACTTGAGTGTCAGAAACGGGAAGATGGCTATAAGTTCAAAACCAGCCTGGTCTACATAGTGAGTTTCAGGCCAGCCTGGTCTACACAGTGAGTTTTAGGCCAGCCTGGGCTACATAGATATTGTCTCAAAAACAAAACAAGGAGCTGGAGAGATGGCTCAGCAGTTGAAAGCTCTTATTGTTCTTACAAGGAGTCTGATTTCAGTTCCCAGCACGCATATCAGGTAGTTCACAGCTGCCTGGAACTCCAGCTCTGGGGAACCTGACACCTAGCTTCTGTGGGTCCACCACATCTGTGCACACACAGAGAGACAGACACATACATCAGTATGCACATGCAGAGAGGCAGATATCTGTGCACACACCCACACACAGAGACAGACACATCTGTGGCATACACACACAGAGACAGACACACATCTGTGCACACACAGAGACAAATACACACATCTGTGTGCACACACAGAGAGGCAGATATCTGTGCACACACACACACACAGAGACAGACACATCTGTGGCGTACATACACACAAAGACAAACATCTGTGCACACACACAGACATCTGTGCATACACACAGAGAAAGACACACATCTGTGCACACACAGAGACAGACACACATCTGTGCACACATACAGACATCTGTGCATACACACAGAGACAGACACACATCTGTGCACACACAGAGAGACAGACACACATCTGTGCACACAAAGAGACAGACACACATCTGTGGCACACACACACACACAGATAGACACACATCTGTGCATACACACAAGGAGACAGACATCTGTGGCATACATACAGAAAGACACATACATCTGTGGCACACACACACAGATAAACACACTTCTGTGGCACAAACACAGAGACACACATCTGTGCATATACACACAGAGAGACAAACACATCTGTGGCATGCACAGAGAAAGACACACACACATCTGTGGCATACACACACAAAATAAAAATAAATCTTCAAAATGAAACAAAGGTTGCTGGTGTACATCTTTGTGTGGTGATATATTGTGCATCTTAATAAAACTTATCTGGGGATCAGAGGACAGAGCCAGCCACTAGATTAGACATAGAGGTCAGGCAGTGGTGGCACACAACCCTGTCACTCGGGAGACAGTGATCCATCTAGAGCTCTGTGAGTTCAAGGCCACACTGGGAACAGAGTCAGGCATGGTGGCACACACCTTTAATCCCAGCACTTGAGAGCTCATGCCTTTGCTTGGGAAGCACACATGCCTTTAATCCCAGGAAGTAAGATGGCAGGGCAGAAAAAGATATATAAGGTGTGAGGAAACAGGAACTCATGCTCTTGAGGCTGAGAGTTTCATAGAGGTAAGAAGAACATGGCTGCTTGTTCTGTTTCTCTGATCTTTCAGCTTTTACCCCAATATCTGGCTCCGGGATTTTTTTCTATTAATAAGACCTTTTAGCAATTCATGTTACCCCTTTGATCCTAGCGCTCTGGAACAGAGGTGTATCAGTTTGAGGCCCAGCTAGTCTCCATTGCCAGCTCTAGGCCAGCCAAGGCTACATAGTGAGAAGCTGTCTCAAAAAAGCAGTAACAACAATAAAAAGAAAAAAAAGAAAATTATTTATAATAAAGAAGTATAACTAGTACTTTTAAATTCTACCTTTGGGTCAAATGTGGCAGCGACCATTGTGGCCAGATGACAGGAAACACCCGCATGCCTCTCCCAGTAGCAATAGCCCACAGTCCTTACCTGCTGGCTCTGTAGGAGACTCTGTGGTGAGTGCATCACATGGACTACTTCAGCCACTTTTTATACCACTTTTAGCATGGCCTCCACATTACAAGTGAAGAGACATGTGTTCAGAATCTGAATGACATGCTCAGCGGACAGCGACAGAGGGGTTCCAAGCTAGGCAGTCTGCACC